AAGAAAACAATGTAATCAGATTTCAACTGGCAACAATAATACAAGTCAATTTCCAGAACAAGAAAACTTTAAGCTGGGAAAGATAATAATTGATAATACCTTGGATTTAGGAAAAGAATTACAGCCTAAAAGTACACAAAGCTCTGTATTGAATAATCCCATTTTTGACACAATGAATTCTCAGTGTTTTCAAGCTGCGAATAATGAAATTCTAGAAAACCCTGTTATAAAAAAACTTAAATTGGATGATAATAGTAAGTGTATAACTTCTGAAAATGCAAGGCATCCTAAAAAAATATTTCAAAATAGTTCAAATATATATTATAGTAGTACATCCAATCGTTTTAAACCTAAAAGACAATATGATGGAGCATTAAACCCTGATAAGGCGATAAATGATCAAAATGATAATATAAAATGTGAAGAGATTATAACATATAAAGATAAGAAAGACTTAATGAATAAGCTTTATGACTTTTATGCTAAAAAATTTAATGTATATCTAATTTCTAAAAAAAATTTAAATTACAATTCTGCATTTCAAAATGAAACAGTACAATTTAATAATCAACAGTCGACAAATTTAGATTTATTTTTGGATTTTTATAGAGAGGCTCTAAGTCGATTAAAATCTGCATTTGACAAAGCCAAAAATGAACAAATTTCGATTTTAAACAAGGGGTTCATTCTTGGGAATAAAGACAAAAAATTTATATTTGAATTATCAAAGTTTAAAAGATGTTATTGTACGAGAAAAAGAAGCTTAAATACAAGTATTGAACGTCAAATAAAAAATATAGAAGAAAGTTATTTTTTTAAAGAATCTTCATGTGAGTCTATAAAAGAAATAATAGTAGAATGCAACATGTTTTTAAAAGAAGTGGTAAAGTATTTCATGTCTCGTAATTTGTCTATTTACCTCTGTGATTACACTATACCACTTATTTATAATGAATGTGAAGATATTTCACAAAGATTTACAAATATTTCACGAAATTTACAATTAGAATTTATTTTTGTAATTATAAAAATGCTTATTGAAAGATTAGAAAGCTTCGAAGAATTTTTAGTTGGGGCAGATTATAATTTACTTTTGTTTTTTTATTCTGTGACCCATTTATCTACAGATATTAAATGGTTAATTTTCCCTTTAAATGTAATTATGGATAATATTGATAAAAAATATGAATGTAGTGAATCTAACTAGTATATTTTATAAATTATTGTTTGATTGGGCTTTTTTATATTTTATAACAAAATTTATTCTTCTATTATTTTAAAACAAATAAAAAAAACAAATTTACAATTTTACTACGAGATTACTAAATTTAAGGCTTAAAAAAACGAAAAAATCCTTGTAAGTTTAAAATTTATTAAAAATGTCGTGTACCCAAATTATATTATAAATAATACTGAATTTAGTTCCTTATTGTTTTTCAAGTATATAAATCTCTCTGTTTAAAAGCAATGCGTCTACTACTCAAAGAAACTGGTTTGAATCTTGACGAGCACTTCTTGTTTCTATGTCAAAGTAGTGTTAGATCTTACAAAGGGATGGAATATGGAATACGTCTAAGAAAAATTATTAAATTGGTTCAATGAAACTTTGGATGTCATCCAGCATCGAGAAAATTAACACCCGATTTTGAAACGCCTATTAAGGCCAGAAATAATGTAAATTGGGTTCTACCTATAACAAAGATACGCAAGTACTCAAAACGGTTAATTTTTGCAAACATTTAAAGCATTGACTGGTGCACTTTATGGTGGGTTCCTTCGAGACAAATAAGGTACTCGAAAAGTAGAGCAGAAAGATCTTGTGATCCCTTCCTACAGGATTCCGTAGTGCACTAGTCAAACTGGTAAAAGACAAGTGGTCGAAGTGAAGTAGCCCATAAAAATGCCGGGCCGAAAATTTGGCGGTGTAAAGAGGAGTGCATAAAAGTACAGATGATAGTGGGAGCCCTTAATGATAGTATGATAGAGTCTTCCTTGTGTAATTCAAACATACCCGTAATTATATCTGCTGTGAGCCATTCAGGAAAGGCATGGATACAAGTGGTACAGGTTCTCCCAGAGCCAAAGTCTAATGGATACGGGGAGCTTGCTGTACTGGCAAGTTTAAAAAAAGTTGAGGTTTTAGTGAGCAAGAATTTCATAGTACAAGTTTGGCAAAAGTACCTTTTTTTCCAAGTCTTTCTGGTTCCCATGCAAGGTTTTCATACTTCCTCTTGCGCAGTAAAAAAAAACAAAAACAAAGGAAATTTGAATTATTTAAGTATATGTGAAAGCAGTGGCGATTTCAAAACAAGCCAAAAAAATGAAGCTATAAATCGACTTCTAAAGAAAGGTTAAAGTCAACCACAGAAGGAAAAAGACATAGAAAAGGTAAGGAGGCGGAGAAAGGAAAAAATTAAATTTAGAGAGCATTTCAGAAGATTTTAAAAAAGAATTTTTAAATTGCAGACTATATAAATGTAAAATCTTGACACAACAAGGGAAGAATGTTTTTAAGGGAGACAAAAGGTTGATTATACAGGCATTAATTAAAGCTACAGAAAAACATCTAGGGAATTTAGCACAAAGAAAAACTACGAGAGAAATATAACTTAGAAAAGCGGAGCCCAATTGGTTATTAAAAAGCCAAGTGGAAGGATTAGATTTTTCAGCATTTTGATAACGTTTAATGACATTGTTTAAAAAAGTGATTATCGGCTGACAAACATTAGGATACAGTAAGAGCAACACAGAAACCAAATATATGATAGTAGTTGACCCCGAGGATGTTTTACAACGTTGAGATTAAATAAGAGGATAAGTTTAAGAATGCGTTTAAGTCTATTGGAAAAATTTTAAATGAATCTCGATGGCAATAGGATTTAAAACTCACCACAGATATTACAAAGATTAATAAATAGAATATTTAGAGACTTAAGAGGAAGGGGGGTAGAAGTTTAAATGGATGATATAATTTTTCATAGTAAGAGTCCGAGTAAACATGACGACATAATAAAAAAAAATTTAAGAAAATTAACGAAAAACAACACAAAATATGATTTCAATAAGATACAGTTTTGTGAAAAATGTTATGTATTTTATAACTTTCAAACCCCATTTATTTGGGTATAGATAATTATTTAGTAATATTATACACAAGCCTTTAGGTGTCCCGTTCCGCCACACAATTCTATGGGCTCTTTTATCCCAACATACTAGCCGCTACCTGCATCTGCTTCGGCATCCACTTTTCTGCGATTGTTTATAGCCAGGCATTCCAGTGACATTTTAAGTATTCTGGATTGAATGTAAGCTTTAATTTCGCTCTAGCTCATTTCTATATTGTCGGCGTTAATTAGTAACCACATCATCCCACGCGATTACATACAGAAGAAGATTTAATTTGTTTTTGTACATAGAAGCCGCGTGGTTTGCAAAGAAATCATACTTGTGCTTCTTTTCGGTTTCTGCTGTTCTTAGATTGTCAAATCCACAAACCACAGCCTCTATAAATATTATCTCTTTCCTTATTTTGTCTACTATATATATACATATATGTCGGGCTTATTGTACTTAACCTTGATTGCACTTTGGTTTCTGGTGTAGTCCCTTGTTTCTACGTCTTTAGTGGCAATGTATGCTTGCAGTGAACGATTCCACATCTTTATACTCTCTGCCAGGCCGTAAGTGCAGCAGACTTGTAGATATAGCACTTAAATACCTCGTCATGTCTTTGCATGTGATCGTATGCCAACATTCTATTTCATTGAGTTGCGATGTGGTCAACTGTCTTGGACTAAATCGGGGCGACCGGTATTTTTTGATATTTCAAAAATTTGAACTTTTTTTCCTAAAATGGTAAAACTCAAAGATGAAGAGGAGTACAAAAAATTAGCAGGTGAAGTCAATAACATTTATAACAATCAAAAATGTTATAAATGCGGTTCGAATACACGCAAATTGAAGGAAAAATAGGATTGTCTGTTTTTTCTGCATGTAAGTGACTTTCATTTGTTATAAAGGAACAATTTTTGAAAACTCGCTACTCCCTATTATCACTTCAATAAAAGTATTAGATATGTGGGTTGAGAGCGTTTCTTGTGATCTTATTGCCAACATTGCAGGAATTCAAAGATCTTCGGTCTTTAAAATCTGAAATAAGCTACGATCACTAGGAGGATTAAACTTATATTTAAATAAGTTTAATAAAATCGGTGAAGGGAATGCTATTATTGAAATCAACGAAAGTAAATTCGGCAGGAGAAAATACAACAAAGGTTATAGAGTAGAAGGCGTTTGGGTCGTATGCGTCGTAGACAGAAATACTAAAAGAATCGTCCCAAGACACATAGAAAAGAAAGACACTCTTATTTTAACGACGTTTTGTAAAAAATATATAAAAAGAAACAACTATTTATAGTAATTGCTGGAAAGGCAATACAAATCTTTCCAAATAATTTCTAAGACATCAAACAGTAAATCACTCAAAACATTTTGTCGACAAAAAATCTAACACTTATACCAATACCATAGATGGCGACTGAAAAATAAAAAGAACAATACCAATACGAAGAAGCACATGGAAATTAATTGATATATACCTATTAAGATTTATGTTAAAAAGAAACGAAGGAAGTAACAGTCTTGGGGTTTTATTAAAACTATTTTATTACTTATTTATAATCGATTTGTTTATTTTTTAATTTGTTAATTTATTAATCTTTATATCGATTTACTTATTATTTATTTTTTAATGTGCATTAATTTTTTAATTTAGAATTAAATTTGCACTTACAAGACGAAGTCTTAAACTGTAAATTCATTTTAAAATTGAAAAATTAGGGTTAAAAAATTTCAAATTTTGAAAATATAAAAAAATGCCAAACAGTCCGACTTAACCCAATAAAGGATTATAAGATTTGGATGAGATAATTCAAGAGTTCAAAAAAAGGGAAGAGCAAATAAAATTACAATATCACTTGGAAGAAATTAGAATTACTAGTAAGCAAGAAAGAATTAGCATTAAAAGAAAAAATTTAAAGAATGAAGAGGGAAAAATTGAGATTTAAAAATTTGGTGGAAATAAGAAATATGCCAATAGAGCGTATAATTATTTATTTTGAGGCAAAAGATGCTACTATTTGGCAGTGTTAGTTTTAACATTGCTTTAATTATATGATATAAAGACCAAAAGATGCCGTTGATAAATCTTGTTAATTTGTGAACATAATTCTTGTTCTCATTATAGGACCACAAAGTCTATTCAAGTCAATTGGTTTTTAAGAAATTTAGGCTGCCCGTAGTTGATGTTTTTACTGTCATAATCTTATGGTGTGAAAAAAAAGTTTTAAGGATATTGGCAATGATTATGAGCATTAAGAAAAATTATTTGTCAAAAATTATATCTTGCTTACTAAAAAAAACTAAGATGTTTTATGAGACAAACCAAATAAGATCGGATAGGCCCGGAATAGTTTGTCAAATTGACTTTTGTCAATTTATACACAGAATTAAACACCATAGAGAAAGGGTATCGTCAAGTGATATTTGGATATGTGGTATTGCGGATACGTCTATTTTCTCCTGCACAGTGTTATATAGAAATTGTTGAAAATCGCATTGCTGAAGTTCTACTGCCTATAATTAAAAGAGTTTGTCGTGCTGGAAAAAATACATTCTGACGGCTGAGCTGCATATCATAATATTGAGCGAAACCTTTGATTTTGCCATAAAACAGTAAATCATCAGTTGTGTTTTGTTGATTCTTAAACTCGGGTGTATACTCAGAATATTGAATCTTTCTGGAACAAGATGAAGCGAATCACTAAATTAATGCAAGGTGTAAGTAAAAATCAATTCTCCGGATTACTTTTTTAGCTTATGCTAAGGATGAATTCAAAAACAATACTTTGTTTTCTCTTGCGTCTCTTCTGTTTGTTCATTAAATGAATTTTTTATTTTTTGTTCCTATTTTCGCCGTTTTTCGACTGTCTCTTGTGTTTATAGCTCGGACAGATAACAAACTAGCACATATTCCGGGCAGATAGCAAACCAGGTCTAAAAAAATGGAAAGTAAAACCTTCTTAATTTAGCCAAAGAAATTAACCATAAAGGATAAGACAAAAACAAACTGCAAGGTAAAGCGTTCGAACACCCAGAAGAGACCAATAAAAGTTTAAAAAACCATTCTAGTTTTCAATTAGTCACTAAAAAAACACAAATATTGGACCTGGTATAAATAGAATAAATAATTCAGGACACTCAAATGAAAAAAAAACATGATTGATTCGGGTTCTAATAAAAGTTGAATTAGTAAGAAACTAGCAGGTGAATTAGATCTTGAAGGTAAAGAAATTGAGGCAGAAATTTTTTATAAAGGAAGAATAAAATCCAACAAACGGCAACTTTACATATACGAACGCAAAATTGCAAAGATAACACCCCAGTAACTTTATATATAAACAAAGATTATTCACCAACATATTGTTAGGAAGCACGTTTAACTCCAAAAATGGAATTAAAATTGATTATGAAAGAATTTGATTAGTTGAAATGATACCTGTTACGGATAAATATTCTAAAATAAATAACCCTTTACTTATAAATCATTACATGGTGGAGAATATGAATCACAACAATAAAGATAAGTTTAAAGAATTATTACAAAGATTGGATAAAATATTTATCAAGAATTTTGAACTTGATTTAGCCAGACGTGAAATATGATATAAAATTCGAGAAAATGTCAGAACAGGAAAAAATCTGTAGTATGCTGAACCAGGGAGATGATTCCTTCATTCAGTGGCATCGTAAGGAATTTAAGACAGGAAAAATGGAAGGTCTAACATATGATATATGGAAAGGGAAGGCTCTAGAGGCGCCAGGCAGAAAAATAACTTTTGGAAGCAAAACAGCTATGAAAAGAATTTACAGTAGAGTTTTTTAAAAAAATGGAAGGTTATGGAAAACGATTAAAACCTAAAGAAGAAATGGTGTTGGAAGTTACGAAAAGGGGGTTAATATAAAATACTACTAAAATACGATTCGCGATATGTGGAGAAAGGAAGTTTACAAAGCTTGTGTATGAAAAAATCAACGAAACAGATTCTATAGGAAATGGGGTGTTTAGAGCACGTATGAAAAATAAGGAAACGAAGTTGAAGAAGGGGAATGGAACGAATATCCCCAAGAAAGGAAATAAGGTTGTGAATCTAATCGAAGCAGATAATTTACTAAATAACGACAATTATCTATACATTTATAACAAACCTTATTCTGTATTTTTCGACACAGGAGTAAAAGAAAACTACATATCGAGAAAAGTTGTTGGAGAACTAAAGCTAGAGATATTTAATCTTAAGAAGGCACGAAAGCGATTTGTGTGTTTAAAGAAGAGATTTTTCATCACGGAGTGTGCGAAGGTAAATTTTACATATAATTGAATATGTTTCGAAGAAATATTCTACATGTTACCTAAAAGAGACGATCATATAATAATTATAGGAAGAGATTGGCTAAAAAATGCAAAAGAAAAAAAAGAGAATATGAAACCCGAAGTTGGAATAGAATCATTGTTAGAAGAGCTATCCAAGGAAAGAATTGAAACTTTACCGTATTGTGAATGTAAAATCGAAACAGTAGAAGGAAAGAGTATAGTAGATAGACAATATAAATTATTATAGGTGTATAAAGAGAAGGTAGAGATTGAGGTAAAAAGACTATTGACTAATGATTATATATGACCGAGTAGATCGGAATGGCTTAATAATGTAAGGCCGGCAATAAAACCAGATGGTAGCATACGATTAACTACAAATTTGGTTAAACTGAATAAGTTTGTAGTAATAGATAATTATTCGCTACCAAACATGGATGAATTTATTTATAAACTAAAAGATCAAAAATATTATTCGAAGATAGACTAAAGGAAGGATTCTTCCAAATAAAAATCAATGACCACGACTGTCATAAGACAGCGTTCAGAATTAAGAATAAACTGTACAAATGGGTTAGAATGCCCATGGGATATAAAAATTCGCCAGCAATCTTCCAAAGGGCGATTGACGCCATTTTAGAAGATTTTATAGGAGTATGCTGTTACGTTTATATAGATGACATTCTAATATTTGGGAAAACGAAAGAAGAACACGATTTGGCATTTATTAAAATAGTCAAAACATTAATAAAAAATAACACTGGGGCAAACAAGGATAAAATAATTTATGGAGTGCGAGAGATATAATTTTTGTGGCACATTTTGAAAAGAGATAAAATTATAGCATGCATGGACAATAAAGATGCTATTGTAAACTATCCTTGTCCGAAAAAATCGGACGGAATAAAACGTTTTCTAGGCATCGTAAATTATTATAGAAAATTTATTAAAAGCTGTGCTACTATACAAGAGCCATTACTTAATTTTGAGAAAGAATAATAAATTCAATTGGTCAAATGGGTGTAAGGATGCCTTCGAGAGATTAAAAAAGTCTCTTGGTGAGTATGGTACTCCAACAGCCTGATTTCAATAAAGATTTCATTTTAGAAACAGATGCATCGAGGGTTGGCATAGAAGCGGTATTGTGTCAAAAAATCGAAGGAGACATATTACCTGTGGCATTCGCATCCCGGAAGCTAGGAAAAGCGGAGCGCAACTACTCGACCAGCGAAAAGAAAATGTTAGCGGCGTTGTGGTCAATGGAGATTTTAGGTATTTTTTGTTGGGACGAGAGTTTAAATTGATTACGGATCATAAAGCTCTTACGACTTTGGATGACAGACAGACGCTTCGATCGGCGAGAATAGAGCGTTAGATAGAAAAGATGGAAATTTTTAACTTTAAAGTAGAGCATAAAAAATAGACATCCCACACTTGGATGGGTTGAGCAATATCCTAGATGTGGATGAGATTAATTTAGTTGTCCAAGGTACAGAAGATGAATTAAATAAAATAACTTTAAAATTTCACAAGAAGATCGTTTATAGAGAATCCAGAATAACCTGGAAGGAGTTTAATAAAACCAGAATGGACAAGGATAAGGCAACTTACGAAAGGATTAAAGAGGTATTGAAAGACTACGTGGAATGTAAACTATATAATCTCATAAAGACAAACAACCCCTACTATAACTGTTATGGCGCGGGATAAAAGGTCGGCTTTGATATCATAGGTCCATATGATAAATATGTTATTACGGCAATTAATTATTTCAGTAGGTAAGGTTTGCGGAGGTATTGCAAACAGGAAAACAGAGAACATTCTAAAATTTTTAGATAAAGTGAAAAGACAAATAAATATAAAAAGCCTGGTGTGTTATTAAGCAAAAGAAAATATTATCAACGAAGTTATACATCGGTGTAAACATAATGGAATCACCAGACATGTGACTTATCCGCATCATTACCAGTCTAATTGTAGAATAAAATGCTTCAACAGGACATTAATGGAAGGAATTAACAAACAGGAACAGTGTATAAATTAGATGAACGGGAAGACAACGTATTAAAGGTTTATAACAATGTGAAGCATTGCAGCTTAGATATGACCCCGACAGAGGTAAAATGGGAAATAAAAAAGAGTAGGTTAAGGGAAGTCCAGTTTAAAGATACCTTAAAATATAACACGAAAAGAGAAAAAAGCGGCAAAACAATAAAATACAAGAAGGAAAATAATGTTTTAATCAAAAATGAAATACACAAATATAAAGGTCAATATAAATTTGACAGATTAGGAATCATCGAAGGGGAGCTTGAAAATGATACTTATAAGATCAGGTTGAATAACGGTAAGGTTATCAAGAGACATAGTGATTAGCTAAGAATGTGGGTTAATGCGGTTTATTGGTTTGACGGAGGAATGTTACGAATAAATATTCGTAAATAAATAACCCTTAGCTTATAAATTATTACAATACCCAATTAAAAATAATAAACACACAAGAAAAAGTAAGGAAGAAACAATGGATAAATATTTTACGATAAAATACTCTTTACAAGTAAGAGTAATCTTCAAACAAAGATAGAAGAATATCAGAATAATAACAACACAATGGGTTATATGAAAACTTTATTGGTAAAACACGAGTTAAATACAAAACTTAAATAAACAAAACTAAGTATTATGATGTGCCACACGCAATAGTAGACGAAGTTAACGCCGAAATTATTAGTTATTTGACAAAGATATACTATAAAAAGTAATCAATCTTATTCATGTCCTGCGTTTTTTATCAAAAAGAAAACGTAAAAACTAAGATTAGTAGTAGATTATAGGGACTTAAATAAATTTTTAAGAGATGATATTCGCGTAATACCAAAAATGGAAGAAATTTTGTGTGGAATTGCCGGAAACACCATATTATCAAAAATTTATTACAACAACAAATTTAATCAGTTATCTTTGGATGAAGTCCAAAGAAGATTTACTACATTTACGATCTTGGGAAGAAGATACCAATATAAAAGACTATCATTTGTTTTTAAGGTTAAACCAAAACTTTTTCAAAGAGCAATGATAGAAATCTTTAAAGACATTAAGAACGTAAGCATATATATAGATGATGTAATTATATCTACAAAAATAGAAAATGAAAAAGTTCTAATAGAAATATTAGATAGACTACAAGATACAATGTGAAAAAAAATGTAAAAAATTTTTGTTTATGACAAACCAATTAGAAGTATTAGGAACTAGAGTTTTTATGAAGCAATAGAACCAAATCATGAAAGCATAAACAAATTGATGAACACTGAAACAATTAAGAAGAAAAAAGACAGCTAAAAGTTGTTGGCATAGAAAATTTATATAAAGACTTAAAACAAAAATTCTTATTATTACAGACAAATAAAAAATGATAATTTTATTGAATAAGGAGGACAATTAATTAATAAAAAAAATCTGTAAAGGACTTATGAAATCAAAATCTTTTGTGTAACCCCTTTAACAAAAAAAATTGTGCTAGAAACAAATGCATTATATGAAGGACTAGAAGGAGTACTCTATTAAGAACATGAAGTGTTAACTTGTTTTAGCAAAAACTCAATGATACTGAGAAAAGCCATACAATAGTAGAGAAAGAGATGTATGCAATAGTTTATTGTTTGGAAAAAAGCCAGAATGTGATCATAGGAAATTTCGTTGGAAGTCTTTACTGATAATTGAAACAATATATTTCAAGCAAAAACAATACTGTAATAGACAGATGGAGATTATTAATTGTCGCGAGTCCAGCTCGCACATCGTTCGATTCCCGGCAAAATCTTTTTATATCGAAAATGAGATATTTTAAACGCTGCAATTTACTAGGCTTACAAAAAGTTAAGTTGTAAAATAAGATTAAAAATACCTTTTATGGGTTTGTGTAGAGGTATTGCTGTATCCAAAGTTTAAAATATTTGTATTGAGATATTGCTATTGTTAAATTTTGTATTTAGATAACATAAAATATTTTTTCAAAAGCAAAGTAAGGAATTATATAAATTATAACATTTTTTAAGCACCAAAATAAACTTTGTTTAATTGTTTTTTTATTATGTTGGCCATAGATACTATCTCAGTTCTATTTCCAAGATCAATTAGCAATCGACTCTCAGATAATTTTTTTTTATTATAGCTGCAGGATAAAAAAATGGGTCAAATTTTAAGCGTTTGTTTGTTTTTTTAGCTTCGAGGTTTTTTTTGGAAAAACAAATTTACCTACATCAAAATTATGCACAGAATTATAAATTGCCTTTTTTATCAATTCTTGCAAGATACTTATCACATATACTTACTTCAGCTTCACTTAACAACTTCTTTATTATTTTTTCTTTGCATGAATCTGTTTCTAAATCAGAAAATATAACACCATCATTTTAGTACTAAGGACCGTATTAAACCCTTTGCGCCCGTAAAAAGTTCAAATGGCAATTTACAAGTGGCAGAATAAACAGGAATGTTGTAGTTATATACAACAAGATCAATATACTTTATCCAACATGCTTCCTTTGCGTTTTCATTTTTTTTGATTAGAACGTTCAATTTGACCTTGTGATTGCGGGTGTCTAACTCTGCCACGAATCAACTTTACGCTAAACCGAGCACAAAGATCGTTAATCACAGAATTAGAAAATTCCTTTCCATCGTCACATTGTAAAACAGTTGGTGGACCAAAAGTCAGAAAAAGTGATTCTAATGCATTGCTAACTTCCAAGGTTGCTTTGGATTTAAGTGGATACGCCTTTGAAAATTTTGAATAAACATCAATCACATTAAGTATTCAACAAAAAAACCCAGGTTTGTTGTTTTATAACTCTTAAGATCGATTAAGTCTATCATAATGTGCTCAAAGCGATAGGTGTCCGCAACATGCATAAATGGCTCTTTTTGCTTTAAAGATTGTGATGTTTTACAAGTATTACAGCCTGCAACAAGATCTCTAACAATAGTTCTGGATTTTGTAAAGAAATAATTTTTACATAATTCATACATCCTATTATGGCCGTAATGGTTGGTATCATGAGGTCTTTTAACCTCTAATGTCATGATATCGACCTGGGCCTTGTAGAACACTTTTTTGTGCAATCCTTCTCTAATATTTAAGTGGAGCGTATCATTAAGTACAAGAAGGTGTTCCGCTTTCTTACGATGCCTAAAGACTTGGTATATATTCAAATCCGTCCCAAACGGCAGCTTTAAAAGGATGGCCATTATTGCATCATATTCCTCCTTATATTTATAACTGATACCATCAAGGCTAAAAATTAAAATTTTTTAAAAGATTCAATTTTTTTGTTCTTAAATATATTGCAGAATTTAAAATATTTTGCAGCCTACCTTTATTTAACAAATATCCATTTGTAAAATTATTTATTCTAAATTTTAATAAAATATATGTAGCATGTATCGCAGCTGGTTTCACCTTGTTACATGTGAAAGCGTCTGCGGGTTCAATTCCCGTATAAGAATATTTAAATATAGGTTTTTGGATAAAGACTCCGTCTATGATATAATGTAAAAAAACGTCGAAGTTCAAAATTTGTAACAAAAAATACGATGTGCGAGCTGGGCTCGCGACATTAACCAATGAATGTAATTATGGAATTATAAACAAATAAAGGAAACGAAATGTTTTAGCAGATAAATTTTTGAAAAGCTTCTTACTTAAACCCAGAAAAGTTATAGAAAGGAAAAACAAGGCTTTTTACGTGCAATTAACAAATTTGTTTAAAAATCGATGTAGAGAACACTGAGAATTTAAATGTTGTTGGCGTGTTTGCCAGGGATTTCCCTATGGATAAAAAGCATTCTAGGATGCTGCGGGAAATATGTTTACGTAAAGTGTTTTTATTGAAATCGGACTTAGTACTTGTAGAAGAATGTT